ATTAGTCAGTGTATCTGTATCTCTGATCTGGATTATGTAGTCAGACAGTCAGTCAGACAGATGTTCTTATGTCAGATTAGGCAGTGTATCTGTATCTCTGTGTGATCTGGATTATGTAGTCAGACAGACAGTCAGACAGATGTTCTTATATCATATTAGTCAGTGTATCTGTATCTCTGTATGATCTGGATTATGTAGTCAGACAGACAGTCAGACAGATGTTCTTATCAGATTAGTCAGTGTGTCTGTATCTCTGATCTGGATTATGTAGTCAGACAGTCAGTCACACAGATGTTCTTATGTCAGATTAGTCAGTGTATCTGTATCTCTGATCTGGATTATGTAGTCAGACAGACAGTCAGACAGATGTTCTTATATCAGATTAGTCAGTGTGTCTGTATCTCTGTATGATCTGGATCAGTTATCAGATAAACTCCGGTAGTTTACTCTGGAGGGGTTTAGCCAGTTGAGTCATACACCATAAAGGACCTTAGTAATTTACCCACAATTCCCTCTGATAGACTGGATCAAACTGTCATCACCCCGACATTCAGTCCAGAGTTAAACTTAAACAGTTCCTGACAGACAGACAGACGGACGGACGGACGGACAGATAGACAGACAGACAGACAGACAGGAGCTTTCAGTCAGTAGCAGCTAGTTTAGCATTAGGCTAGCGAGTGGGCTCATTTAGCTTAGCCCCCCCTGCAGGACAGTGATCACTCTGCACTGAGAGAGAGAGAGCGAGAGAGCTTCACTCTCTCATCTATCTCTCCTCTTCAGACCAGCAGCAGGGCTGTGGTTCACAGGCCTAAACTGGAGGATGGAGCGCTGAGTCTAGCTAAGATCCGTTAGCAGTTAGCCGGTTCTCCTGGTTAGCTAACAAAGCAGAGGTTCCCGTGTCTGTTAGCAGGTTCTGTTCTGAGGTGCTGTATCTGAGTGATTACCTCATCACAGTGGGCGTCGCCCCATGCTGAACATCTCCTCCCCCATCCAGTGTCATGTTTGGGGTTTTCTGGGTGCTGTATTTGCTGTTTAGCCGCAGTAGCGTGTTGGTGTTCATAAGCGTGACGTTCGCGCAGTGATGTTTCGATCTGGGGTATTCAGGGAAATTACACAGATCCTTTATCCTGTATGAATCAGCCAATCAGATCACACGAACACTACACTGCAGCACCTCCTCTGTTCAGACTAATCCAGCAGGACAGCAGAAGGTAATTAGCTCAGGAGTTATTATTCAGCCGCTCTGTAGAAACTAGACAGTGCAGTTTCACACGGGATTAAATCACAGATCTCGTCAGTCGTCACTCAGATTACTCCCTACAGTCTTAATGCAGCTCCAGTAGGGCTTAAGGTTTGATTTGAGAGAAATACTTAATGTAATCTAATAACCTCTCTCTGTCTGTCTGTCTGTCTGTCTGTCTCTCACTCTCTCACTCTTTCTCTCTCTCTCAGGTCGTTGTGGGTGCTGTGGTGAGATAGTAAAGCTGAGTGTAGGTCTCTTAGCCGCTGCGGCGATGTTTCCTCTCCTGGTGTGGGCGGGTTTTGAGCTCCTGCCCTTCGACACTCCTCCGGTCAGCAGCGCCCCCTTCAGGCTGGTGTACACGCTGCACTGTGCTTTCTTCGCTACTCTCCCCATCGTTCTGGGTGCGTTTACAACAGAGCTCCTCTGATAACACAGAGTGAAACATTAAAAGAGGTTCTATGACAGTAAAAGGGAGTGTTATATTAAAGCAGAAGAGGTTCTTTAGCTTTTAATTGGTTAGCTTTCGCTTGGTGGTTAGCTTGATATCAGTCATAATGATGATTTTCATTCAGTGTGTGTGTATATATATATATATATATATATATATATATATATATATATATATATTCCTGTCTTTGTGTCTCTAAGGTGTGTTGGTTCAGGGTGTGTCCCGGTTTAAATTCGGCGCCCTGAAGCCCCTGTTTGACGGGACTCGTGCGATGCGTGATATTGTTGTCCACGGCAACTACGTCCGGGACTCCCTTCATCTGTACCTCCTCTACTTCATCCAACTCGCCGTCATGGCAACCTACGTCAGGCAGGACATGCTGAAAACTGGTGCCCTTACTGACCATCATCTTCGTGTTTGGCAGGTGAGTCTGTGATGACTGACAGGTAGACAGGTAGTCCTCACTGCAGTAATCAATAACAGTGTTTGGCAGGTTAGTCTGTGATGACGGACAGGTAGACAGGTAGTCCTCGCTGCAGTAATCAATAACAGTGTTCAGCAGGTGAGTCTGTGATGACGGACAGGTAGACAGGTAGACCTCACTGCAGTAATCAGTAACAGTGTTCAACAGGTGAGTCTGTGATGACGGACAGGTAGACAGGTAGACCTCACTGCAGTAATCAGTAACAGTGTTCAACAGGTGAGTCTGTGATGACGGACAGGTAGACAGTTAGTCCTCGCTGCAGTAATCAATAACAGTGTTCAGCAGGTGAGTCTGTGATGACTGACATGAAGACAGGTAGACCTCACTGCAGTAATCAATAACAGTGTTCAACAGGTGAGTCTGTGATGACGGACAGGTAGACAGGTAGTCCTCTCAGCAGTAATCAATAACAGTGTTCAGCAGGTGAGTCTGTGATGACTGACAGGTAGACAGGTAGACCTCTCTGCAGTAATCAATAACAGTGTTCAACAGGTGAGTCTGTGATGACGGACAGGTAGACAGGTAGTCCTCTCTGCAGTAATCAATAACAGTGTTCAACAGGTGAGTCTGTGATGACGGACAGGTAGACAGGTAGTCCTCTCTGCAGTAATCAATAACAGTGTTCAACAGGTGAGTCTGTGATGACGGACAGGCAGACAGGTAGTCCTCACTGCAGTAATCAGTAACAGTGTTCAACAGGTGAGTCTGTGATGACTGACAGGTAGACAGTTAGTCCTCACTGCAGTAATCCATAACAGTGTTCGGCAGGTGAATTCGTGATGATGGACAGGTAGACAGGTAGTCCTCACTGCAGTAATCAATAACAGTGTTCAACAGGTGAGTCTGTGATGACTGACATGTAGACAGGTAGACCTCGCTGCAGTAATCAATAACAGTGTTCAGCAGGTGAGTCTGTGATGACTGACAGGTAGACCTCACTGCAGTAATCAATAACAGTGTTCAGCAGGTGAGTCTGTGATGACTGACATGTAGACAGGTAGATCTCACTGCAGTAATCAATAACAGTGTTCAGCAGGTGAGTCTGTGATGACTGACAGGTAGACAGGTAGATCTCACTGCAGTAATCAATAACAGTGTTCAGCAGGTGAGTCCATGATGAGTGATGGGTAGACAGGTAGACCTCAGTGAGAGGTTCTTGTGCTGCTCCTCCAAAGTTACATAGCACTATAGCAGGAGTTCCGGGCCGGAGTGGTGATAACAGAGACGCCGTTCTCACTGTTATAAATCAATGTAGCATCAAAATGACTTTGAATCTGTTATTTTAAGGTAAAACTGTTACATAATGTTGCTTCAAAGAAGTGAACTTCAGACCCCTGAGGCGTCCGGGCTGATCCACTTTTGGGGGACGTTTCTTTGTCCAAATCTTCTGTAACCCTGCTCTGTTTGTGTGCTCAGGCTGATCTACTGGGTCTGTGTGGTGTTCCGCAGCAGCGTTCGCTCTCTCGGTTTCGGACTCTCCTTCCTGCCCGTGCTGGTCCTGCTAGGAGCCAATCTCTACTTCGTCTGCTCGTCAGTCGGACCGGAGGCGGTGTTTGACGTGGCTCCGCCCACCACAGCCCCGCCCCCAAAGCCGAGGTGGTGGGGTTGATCAGTTCACCGACACATCGCAAGCACGGCTAATGAAGGAAAGCTACTGCTGTTGGCAACTAAGACATTAAAGACGAAGAAGAAACAGAACGACTTCATTCTAGAGGTTCTTTCCTCAGTGTTCGCTGTACGTAGCTTCATAATCACATGATGGTTAACAAGCTTGGGCCAGTTAGCTGGTGTGGAGGATAATGCTAACTGCCCAGTTCTACATACTTGATCTTTTATACAGCCTCAATTGGTTGGCATCACTCCAGGACTGAGATATTCCAGCATCGGTAGCAACTTTACGGATTCCTCTAAAGTCAGACATAGAAATGAGACATAGACAATCGTGTTTGGACAAAGCCTACGATTTATATATTCATACTATATACTCACACTGTACGAAAAAGCTTTGCCTAGCGCTACCCGTGAAACCCAGCCCCTAAAGTCAGCTCTGTCTACACACAATTTCCAATAATCAGTTTCATTTAAAATACTGTGCTGTGTGTCCAAGTTCTGAGAAAAAACACTGTCTGAATCTCAAAGGACTCCCTCTACAATTAAAACAGTGGCTCCTGCACCCAAACAGTGCATCGTATCACTGCTGTCAGAACAAAACCTTGCATCCCCATTTTGGTCATTTGTCAGTTTTTTGACGTGATTTGAAAATGCCTGTTGTCCTTTACATGGTGTGCTAATTTCACGACGAATGGACCAAAAGAAACGGCCCAAAATTACTTGGAAAAAGTTTGGTAACTTTTACATTAAGGTAAAATATGTTTTTTTTATTTCTCCCATATTTTGGAGATGCGAGGTTTCGTTCCGACAGCAGCATAATAAACAGCCATTTGGGATTCAGCCAAGTGTGCACAGTTCCATACTGGACAAACAGTGCCCAGTTTTGGTGTAGAAGCCAGAACTTACATAGTGCACTACATAGGAAGGAGGGGGGCGTTTAAGATTCAGCCATCGACAAACTGCTATAACAGCTCTGCTAACTTCTGCCACACTGTGAAATGAAACTCAACACCAGGTTTTACAAACTCATTAAAAAAATCACAGTATTTATTTCTGCACACCTCACAGTTCAGTTCAAATGGAGGAAAGTCGGCATATACGGACGTTGGTACCGCAGATGGCGACTTATTTGCGTCCGTTTATGCGTGATGCCCTGTGTAGGAGAGGTGGTTGTGATTGTGTGTGTGTGTGGTTCTAGGTGAGTGTGACCAAAATCTCAGAAATCCACCTCATCATACGACTGCTCAGCTAGAGCTCGTTCGGACAGTTAACTGGGCATCGCTGCCCCTCTTAGACTGCAAATGACAGCCAGTGAAGCTAAAATTTGGCCTAATCATGATTTTCCGTCAGCTTCAACCAAACAGGCTAACATCACACAGTGTATGCCTGGTTGTAGATTTTGCTCTTCTGTGTTGAGATCAGATCAGTTTCACATCACCTCTGTTTATTCTTCTGCAGCGTTCACTGTAAGAATGGTGGAAAATCAAAAACTGAAAAATCAGTTCTGCTCATCTCAACTGTAAATCAGCCAAGGCGCGTTTGGCGTCTGGAGTTAGCTGCTTTAGTTTCAGCACAGGAGCTACGAGGCTAGCAAGACGTGTAAACATACAGCTGCTAGGCTAGCATGGCGCTAACTGCACGTCTAAGTCTTCTCACGGTCGTCCTCAGACTGTGTGGAGGTGTTCAGTGTCTCTGATAGACCTGATTATGATGTTTCTGACTCTGTGTGACTCACTGTGATCTATAAACATGGACTGAAGTGCTTTAGCACAGATAAACACAGCAGTGGCCTGATTTTTTAATCAGCTTCATGATTTAACGCAGCAGCAGAATGGATTCTGATTAGACTGATGAGTTTAACAACTAGCCGTAACATCAGCCCATCCTGAAATCTGAAACAAGAAATCTGTATGCAAGTCTGGTCCAAGTTGGAGCTCAGAGGGTCCTGCTTCCTGTTTTTTCTCTCATGGTTCCTGTTTGTGTCATGAAATGTTTGTGTTGGCTGGGTTTGAGGGTTAGCAGCTCCAGGTGAGTTAGAGCTGAGTAGATTCAATGAATCCAGGTCAGTAACACACTGTCCGAACTAATCTCACACAGAAGAAGGGCTGGATGACCGGATTCAATAAAATAATGAACCTAAAATAAAGGAATACAGGAGCATAAGTTTATTCAAAAGTGTTGTTTTGGTATATTTTTGTAAATTATAATATGAATGTTTCCAAAACATCATTTACATAAATACTTTAGGTCATATATTTATATCGCTGTTGGGAACAAAACCTTGTATCTCCAAAACGGTGACTTTACAGGAGAAGGAAAAACACACATTACTTTTAATGTAAGTCAGTGGAACCAGACCTTTTTTCCAAGTCATTTTGGGCCGTTTCTGTTGGTCGGTTCATCATGAAATTTACACACAATCTAAAAACAGGTATGTTTAAATTATGTCAAAAACTGAAAAATGACAAAACTGATCTCCATATTTCCATATTTCTCCATATTTGTCGTTTCTCATTTTCAGCAGCTGCCCTTTACTTTGGGTCAAAATCTCATGACTAGACCAACAGAAATGCTCCAGACTGACTGAGATTAGATCATTTCTCCATTAACTTCCATTCAATGTTGAGTGTGTTTTTTCCTTCTCCTGTAAAACAGACCCCAACATCACCATCTATGAAGCCCTGTTCGTTAGTGATTTTATGAGTGTTTTGTTTGTCCTCTCTTGTCTGATTTGTGATGTTTAAAAGCTCTATTAAGACTGATGTACAGAGGTGTGTATTGCTATTTTAGTCTGTGTGATGTAATAATTATGCCTGATTGTCCCTGATCAATAAATTTGCTGATTATTTTGGAATGAAACGCTTCTTTAGTCCTACAGACTTGATATGAAGTCAGTCATTCTGGTCTCAGTCTATTTGGACAGTCCCCAACAGATCATGTACAGGTGCTCAAATGGTTAACAAACAATGAGGTGTAGCTCAGCTGAAGAGGGTTTAGATCAGCATTAGTGTTGGGACCAGGGCTAGAGTTAGTTTTAGCTTTGGGTCGAGGTTAAAGTGAATTTAGTAGATATTATGTTTAGTTGAATGTAATTTAACCTGTTAATTGTGGCCCATTGTTGCCTGAAGCGGTGTACCCAAAATAAAGGGGGCGCTGTTCACACATACTGTGGGCTACAGTCATGGTGTGAAATTTAGGGGATCTGGGACCCCCTAAATAACCTGTTGGACCCCCTGAATGTCTCAAAATCAAAACATAACAAACAGACACTCAAATCCAGACTGAATGAAGCTGTTTATCTGCTTCTCCCACAATCAGCTTCTGTCTCTGGAGTTCTTAACTAACTAGAGCTGCAGCACTGCTCTGCCTCAGGGTGGCGCTGTAGCAGACTGGTTCACCCAGTTGGTCCTTCACAGCCTAGAAACTGTAACTCTGCCCGGATTCCTCTGAAAAACTTTACAATGAGCTGCAGCAGATCTGTAAATCTGAAAACTCGCCCAGTTTCCCAAGAGTTTGGAGTGAAGAGTGACTGTTCCTCATTTCACACACTGAAGACAGAAGAGGAGACGAGGAAGATCTCAGTTACTGTGAGGAAGAGCACAGAACCGCACTAGAACAGAGACTCTACAGAAGAGGAGACGAGGAAGATCTCAGTTAATGAGAGGAAGAGCGCAGAACCGCACTAGAACAGAGACTCTACAGAAGAGGAGACAAGGAAGATCTCAGTTAATGAGAGGAAGAGCGCAGAACCGCACTAGAACAGAGACTCTACAGAAGAGGAGACGAGGAAGATCTCAGTTACTGTGAGGAAGAGCGCAGAACCGCACTAGAACAGAGACTCTACAGAAGAGGAGACGAGGAAGATCTCAGTTAATGAGAGGAAGAGCGCAGAACCGCACTAGAACAGAGACTCTACAGAAGAGGAGACGAGGAAGATCTCAGTTAATGAGAGGAAGAGCGCAGAACCACACTAGAACAGAGACTCTACAGAAGAGGAGACGAGGAAGATCTCAGTTAATGAGAGGAAGAGCGCAGAACCGCACTAGAACAGAGACTCTACAGAAGAGGAGACGAGGAAGATCTCAGTTACTGTGAGGAAGAGCGCAGAACCTCACTAGAACAGAGACTCTACGGGAGAACAACTGATAAAACAAACATTTACTGACACTGAAGCAGACAGACAACACGGGACCCCCGAATACCAGGGGGGGATTTACACAAGACTCAGAGTCAGAGTCTAGAATGGAAGAGTCTGTTTCCTCCTGACTCATAGATTTCTAATCTGATCTTTGACTCAGAGTAACAGAGTCAAGAACGAAGGAGTTTGTTTCCTCCTTACTCATAGATTTGTAGACTGATCTCTGACTCAGAGTCAGAGTCTAGAATGGAGGAGTTTGTTTTGTCCTGACTCATAGATCTGTAGACTGATCTCTGACTCAGAGTCAAAGTCTAGAATGGAGGAGTTTATTTCCTCCTGACTCATAGATCTGTAGATCTCTGACTCTTGCCGTGTTATCAGACCTCATGTTGTGGATGATGGTGTCTGGAGGCGGTGAGGCTCTGAAGGTGAGGACACGCTGATCTGCTGGCGTTTGATCATTCGGTGCTGATGCTGTAAACGAGTCGATCGTCACTGCCCTGAGTAACGGATCGTTAAAGGGTTTGTGGGAGTCGAATCCTGGGAGGTCGAGCTCTTTAACGCTGTCCTGCATCGCTGGACTGATGGACGAGTTGAAGCGTAAAGGTGATGTGTAAAAAGGGACGACGGCTCCCGAGTGAGTCTAAGCGTTGGTCCTGTCATCAGGAGATCAGAGGTTCGATACCTGGTGATGCTACAGCCGTCCGTGGCCGGGAGTCCAAGACAGTCCTCGCTCTCTCTGGGTGGGCAGGACGGCCCCCCATCTCCCCCCATCACCCAAAACCACGATGCTAGTTAGCGCAGGCGTCTGTGAGCTGACGTAACAGGTCTGGTGGAGCGCGTTCGGCTGCCCAATGACGCTGCGTTAGCGGCAATCTGTGAGGATGTGCTGGAGCTTCTCAGGACTCAGAGGAAGCCTGTGTCCTTCACCCTCCTAGAGCTGGGGGTATCGTGTGACTGGGGGAGTCAGAACTAGTGGGTGGAACTGGAGACGACTAACTGGGGGAAAATAACAAAGACAGAGGAGAACTCTTGTGCTGGTTCAGTGATCTAGAACAGGTTAAAGCATCGACAGTGGACTCTCCTCATAAAGTCCTACCATCATGTCCTTCAGTCCTACAGAGTAAAGTGACCACTGCAGGACAGGCACTCGCAGGAAACTGCACGAGCGTTCAGACAGTCAGAGTCTGTTTTCAGTAATATAAAACCAAACTGCAGCAGATAAACGTGTGAAATAATTCAAATTCTAACCCTGAGGAACTTCAGACGTTCAGAGGATCACTAATAATCAGTAGGAAGATGTATGAAAAATGTTAAAATGTTAGATGTGTTCAAATTGATTAATCTAAAATGACTGTTTAAAGTTATAACATAATTAATATCCATAAGATCTTGTATATGCATAAAATCCTGAGGTGGATAACGACCCATAAAACTCCTATAAAAGACAGTATAAAACGTTACAGTACATTATTTATCATTTATCAACTCGTTGTTGGCAAAATACTTGAAATGTTAAGAAGCAGTTTGTTTATGACATTTAAAGTATTTTGGCAACAACAGAAGTTTTTGTTCAATATAAAATATTATGGATATTAATTTTGCATCCCTCGGTGCATTTCAGAATAATCATTTGACACATCTAACTAACATTTTTATTACAGCTTCAAACAAATTTAGTAATCCTATCAATGTGATTAAAAAAAAGATACATTTTTAAAAACTATTTTCTAACATGGTGGTTTTACTTCATTAAGAACATCAGGTCTGATCTTCTGAATGCTGGTGTAGCTTCCTGTAATAATGTGTTTATTCTATAGGAATAAAGGAAATTAAGATTCTCAACAATAAAATATACAAACAAAATATTCTAAACAAAAAGGCACTTTTGGATGTTAACAATTATTTAAGCAACAACAAGAGGTTGTTAACTGATACTGTAACTATTTATACTGTCTTTTATTGGAGTCTTTATAGGTCAAGTTATCCACCTTGAGATCATCATTATTTTAAGCTACTTTTGAAGTTTATTCATAATATATATATATATTATATTATAATATATTAAATATATGAATATATTATTGCTGCTGTCAGAGCAAAACCTCCATCTCCAAAATGGTAACTTTACAGGAGAAGGAAACTTTTAACGTAAGTCAGTGGAAACAGACGTTTTTCCAGATCATTCTGGGTCGTTTCTTTTGGTCTATTCCTTATGAAATTTACATACAATATAAAGGGCATCAGGTACTTTAAAACTGTCAAAAACGATACAAATGGAGATACGAGGTTTTGTTTTGACAGCAGTTCTATACATTTTTTATGTACAGTAATATATAGAGTGCAGATTCAAAGACTCCAACAGCAGCTCGTCAAATTTTCACTCCACCAAGAAAGTAAACTCAGTAAATTCAGCTGTTAATTGATATAATATCAGAGTTAAAGATGAAAATAGTCATTTTTATTCAGATCATCAGCAGATCATTTAAATTCATTATTACTGATTAAAGTGAAAAATCCAGGATTCTCACTGAATCTGATCTAAAAAGGAAAATGTTAGTATTTCTTCTGATTAAAACATAAAATCTTAAAAAAAAAACAAAAAAAAACATGAAACAGACGAGCAGAGATGAGGACCGGAGGTCTGATCTGGTCTGGATCAGTCCGATCATTTAGAGAAGACGTGCTTTAAACTGCAGTCCATCGTTTTCTCTCTGACTGAATCAAACAGGCAGATTTTAAACTCATTAACGCCTGATAATCGTGTTTATCTGCTCCACTCAGCTCCACTGCAGAGCTGTCTGAGGTCCAGACATCTCCGCAGAACTCTGTGGAACTCTGCAGAACCCTGCAGAGTCCAGGTTAACACACTTCAGTGCAAAAGTGTTGAATAGACAATCACTCACAGTGACCTCCAGCAGGAGGAGGGCCAGAACAATAACACAATAACAACAACAAAACAGTCACCCAAACCCACCCAGTCAGAACCGTGCACGGATCAGAACCCAAACCTGCCATCGATCATAATCGCTATAAAAGCTGAATCACTGGAAAAAGGAGGAGCTGAAACGCCCTGAACTGTCAGTGTTAATGCAGAAAGACTTCACTGTAGATCATTTGGACCGTTTATTATAGTCCATTCATCATGAAATCTTAATATAATATAGAGGACAGCGGCATTTTCATATTCTAATATATACTCTATATGAACACTCCTGTGCAAAGGTTTAGACACCCCCATCAAATTCCATGCTGTTGACTGTAACACATTAACACGTCCTCTACGGAGACACACTGCTGCACATTTTAATACACAGTTACTGTTTATTTACTGAATTTAAAAATAATAAACTCAACTCAAAAATAATAATTAATACTGTTTATTTACTGAACTTAAAAAAATGTACAAGATATTTTCCCTCAGTATATCAAACTCATTAAACTCCCCAAATGCATGGAAAATGTGCATTAAAATGGGCAGAAGAGGATTCTCTTTAGGGCACGTGTGTCAGGATCCAGTCCTCACAGGACAAACTCTGCAGACTTCATCTCACGGCCTCATTAAACACTCCTGATTCAGCTCATCAGGTAAGCAAGGCCTTGAACTGAGTTCAGAGTGGTAGATGAGGGTAAAGGCTGATCTCCACAGCACTTTGGCCCACAAGGTCCCCAGTTTGACATGCCTGAGCTAAAGAATATGAAAATTATATATATATATATATAAAAATAAAAGAATACATATATATATGGCTGCTATCGGAAAAAACATCACTATTTTTATTTTTTTTCAGTTTTGACGTAATTTGAAAATGCCTGTTGTTCTTTTGAACATACCTGTTTTTACATTGTGTGTAAATTTCATGATGAATGGACCAAAAGAAACGGCCCAAAAAGTCTGGTTCCACTGACTCACATTAAAAGTTGTAATGTTTTTTCCTTCTCCTGTAAAGTTACCATTTTGGAGAGTCGAGGTTTTGTTCCGACAGCAGCGATAACCAGTGTAAATGGTGGCTAAGGTTTTGAAATTTTTAAAAAGTGAAAAATAAATTAAAAATGGAGATACAAGTGTTTGTTGACTGTATGAAAAACTCTGGTAATTATTCCTGATGGCAGGTTTGACTGTGACAGAAAGCTAAATAGAAAGAAAACAACAACAAGAAGTCTGACTGTGATATAAACACAAATTAAAGTCTGTGTTGGCAAAAAAAAACTCTGTTCTCCGTTAAAGGCGTGATTACAGTCTTAATAAGGAGCCAGAGAAGGAAATACATCAGTGAAAACACCACGGAGTCTCTGTGGGAGATTTCAGTGCAGTGCAGCTCTAATGTACCGCAGTGAGAACAGATGAAGACCTTCTCTCTTCTTTTGGATTGTCCCCAAAAAAACGTACGAATGTTGATTAAAAACATCTCACTGTACAAATTACACTCAGCAGAGGAATTAAGATCTGTAGGAGTTTAGTTTTACAAGCGTCTGCTTCAGAAAAGAGGTGAAGGCATTACACACCGAACACGCCGCAATTAAACGACACAAAGACAAATATTCTGACAATTTTACATCAAAACGTCTGTATTTTAGGAAACACGTGCAGAATTTCAAACAGGAAACGGGTGAACTGTGTCTTTCGAGAAGCGAAAGCAGAACAGAGAGTTTCTCCGCCTCATTCAGGAGCTGAAACCATATAAGCTCTTTACTTTCAGCTCTGAGCTCCGCAACTCGGTCTGGGCTGATTTTGGAGATGCAGCTTCACACAAGACGAAGCTCAAACAGATCCCGTGACTCCTCACAGATCAATCAAGTGGACACGCTGGGATACTGTCCACTTAGGAAAAGTGAAAGTAGTGTGAGGAGCTTCATCGCTTCATTCAGGAGCTGAAACGTTGAGTTTTATACCTTTAACATGTTTGTAGCTCAGTTTCAGCTGATTTTGGAGATTCTGGTGTTTCTAATGTCTGCAAAAAAGCTCCAGCTGACGATTTGTCATCTTGGTTGTTGCCATGTCAACAGCAGAGACGGCCATGATCGGTCAAATTTGCAAAAAGTGCATAGAGAGCGAATGAAACGATGTCCTGATTTGGTGTACGAGATATAATAATCAGCGTTCGGTGTGTAACGAGCTCAGTGACCGGCTAACTGACCGATCCACAATCTGCAGCAGCTATGATAGGTGTTTGTGGGCGAAGCCTGGAAAGGTAAACAAAAGGCAGCAGGTGGAGCTCATTAGCTCATCCATCAGTTGGATAAAAGGTCAGTTCTGATTGGCTGCCTGCCCCGACTGACCCACCTGACCTCGTACAGTGTATGAACAGTGTAACTGCTCATAGGTGAGTGCGCAAATGTGGGCGGGGCCTGAGTCATACAGTCTCAGTTGATTGGCTGGTAGCCCAGTTGTTGGTCCTTTCTTTTCCGGATGCAGACGTAAACCCCGCCCACCACAATGAGGGCGAGAGGTGTGCAGAGTCCGACAGCCATGATGCCGATCACCAGCGGAGAGAAGGAATCTGACGGAGGAGCGCCCATACCGATCAATACAGTCCTGCAGAGAGAGAGAGAGAGACAGACAGACAGACAGACAGACAGAGAGCCAGACAGACAGAGAGAGAGAGAGAGAGAGAGATATGGATTATTACACTGAACCAAATACAGTTTTACACTGTTTAATACATACAGAATTATGTAAGTGACCAAAATAAGTGTTAAACAAATCTAAACTTCTGTTTATCTTCTATCTGCACGTCACTAACAGAACAAACCCTCAGATCTCCTAAACAGAACCTTCACAGGAGAACATTAGTGAGGTGTCTCCTTTACGTCCTAGACAGCAGCTCGTTACACCCTAATGATCATCCACTCACAGCTGGAGCGCTAATCAGTCTGTTCAGTAAATATCAAACAGGGCAGTGGAATCAACAGGTGGAATTTATCTTGTTCCCCCAAAAACACCTACCATGTATTTGCCTGTAACTCTAAATCAGTGTGAAAAGGCCACAGGGCTCCACAGTCGCCCCCTCTGGCACAAACGAAAACTGCACTAGATATACTGAACATGTTATTACGGGGCACCGCTGCTGACACCCCTTATTAATGAAAGTAAAGAGTGTCCACAACTTACTAAGGCATGAAAACAGGCTATGATTAGTAAGGCAGAAGAACGAGATAACTAAGCTATAGCTACAAAGACGTGGGAAAGAGATAATTAAGTCAAAGCCATGGTTTAGAGTCATAAGAATGAGATCATGAAGTTACAGCCATGACTTTGTAAGTTGTGAGAATGAGTTAAAGTAAAAGCTAATAGATAATAGATAATTATTTATAGCCACAATTTAGTAGAGTAAGGGCCATGAAATCATAGCCATGACTTAGTAAGCTGTGGGAATGAGATAACTGGGAAACAGTTATGATTATAGCTGGTCAGTCATGGAAATGAGATAATTAAGACTTTACTAAACTTTGGCCACTTTAGTTTTATTACCAAAGGGATGTTATGACCAGAGCTCCATACAGAACTGTACAATATCTGTGGTTTAGAATAATATTTGATATCAGATAATTCTGTCCAAATACACTGATATTGCAAAAATAGCATACATGCATATCAATTTCACTATTTATCTATTCAAGTCTTGCGTTTCATTTCGGTGTCCATGTTAAGTGGTCAGCGCTTTCACACAGGCTCTGAAGCACTGAAGTGCAGCCGTGTTTAGAGAATAGACCCAGCACCGATTTTCCCATGTCCCTGCACACGTTACATAGTTAAATACACTGAAATAAGCCATGAAAATCAATGAAAATTAAATAGAAAACCATATACAAACTTTAAAAAGCTGTTTTTTTTATTTAAATTTCATTCATGACGAAAAACAACATTCCGTACTGCAGACTGATTTCCCGGTTGGTCTACCAGGCTTGAAACTTTTGCCTAATCGGAAGTCAGAATGGTGTTGAGGATAAACAATCATATCGTGCCCTTTTATAAATGATGGAGTGACTGATGGGACCGTCTGTCCTTCTGGAAACAGGAATGTCTGTATGACTTTCTCACTGCTCTGCAGCTCAAACGCTGTATGAATGAAAGGCCAGTGTGTTCCAGCTGTAGTGCTGACGCTGCCGCATCACTCACACCATGAAGAAGCAATAAATGTTAATTAGGCCTAAGACCTAACTTGTCACTGCTGTCCGAGATATCAACAAACTTCACACTGCCTGATAAACCACAGAGTCTGTGGTACTGAATGTAATATATCTCTGTGAAATCCCGGACTTCATCTGTACTCCTCTGCTCATTAGAGCCCAGTGTATACAGATCATCGTTCAGCCACTCTGTTTTTCAAGTGGTGCAACTTTAAAGCTGTTTTGGTGCTGAATTTGAGGACATTGACCACCTGATGACTTAATAGATCACTCACAGTCACTGCACTGCAAAAAAATTAAATCTTGTTAAGTGATCTTAAATCTGGCCAATATATCTAGGATTTCTCATGTTGACATTGTTGTAAACTTTTAAGACTATTTAACTGATTTCCAGACGTTTTACTTGTTTTAACTTATTTTATTAAGTGAATGTCTCACTATGCTGACAGATCATTTCAGGCCAATTTCAAATTATCAGCCAATTCAATACACAAATAATTACACTTGATAAAATTACTTAACACAAGTAAAACATCTGGAAATCAGTTAAATAATCTTATAACATCTTAGTATCTGAACCTTATAATACGTGTAATGTGGTGCAGCGTGTTAAGAGAAGGAGGACACTATGAGGCCGAAGTTCAGGAGGGTTTATGGTGGTCACTCACCAGCTGAGGAACTTCGTGGAGCCGTAGAAGGGGTCTTCAGCCATGCTGAAGCTGATGTTGATGCCACTGGTGACGGGATTGTGGGTGAAATAAGCTGAAATGAGTCCTGATGGAGGCGGCTGAGCGAGAGGGATGGGCTGGGAGTTTCTGCACGGCGTTGCGTCCTCCAGCATCGGCACAGGCTTACGGTACGCTATCGGTTTCCACTGCGCAAAACCCCTCACAGAGCTGGAGTTCATAGGGGACGAGACCCACTGAGATACCTGAGAGAGAGAGAGAGAGAGAGAGAGAAAGAGAGAGAGAGAGAGAGCTCTACTGAATATCATACCCCATGTATCAGGGCCAAGCGCTGCCCTATCAAAGGCGACGTGGTGAATTCACCTCCACCCAGCAGCTCCTCCTTCATACCTGGAATATGGAGGGCGTGTACTCGTCGTCGATGAACCGCTGAACGTCCACTCTGTCCTGAAACCCCGCCTCGCTCACTGTCTGGAGCTCCAGAGAGAAGCGCGATTGGTTGGCCCGCGGTGTCACACCCTCCAACCACACGCGCAGCTGGGAGGAGTTAGCACTGTGGAGGAGGCTCGGCCACGCCTCCTCACGACCCTCCGACTCATAGGCTGAAAACTGAGAGAACATCAGGAGTGAGACTGATTAGCCTGACAACGATTAGCATATGGTTAACCCTTTTGTCGCCAAATGAAGGCTAAAGCAGAGAGCTGACAGCAGGTTTACAGTGATCTGGCTGTGTGTTTGGGCTGTATTTCTGGGTTGGGGGATGTCAGAGCTGGTTCCTCTCACTCTGGCTAGTGATGCAGGTTCCTCTGAGAGCTCTGATGTGAATCATGTCGCTATTTTTAACCCTTTGTTATAATATGAAGGCTAAAAGCAGAGATGTAGTATAACAGTAGCGAGTGGGTTTGGGTGATTTTGGAGCTGATCTCTGGCTGATGGACGGTCACAGGTGGATGAGATCACTCTGGATGGTGAGGCAGAGTCTGACGATGATCTGATGTGTGAATCATGTCGGTGTTTTAAGCCTTTGTTGGAATATGAAGGTCAAAAAGCAGAGCAATAATATCAGGATGTTGGGTGATTTTCCAAGTCGAATTACTGACTGATGCTGTCGTCACAGCTCGATGATGCTCGATCATGCTAACTAGTTAGGGGCGGGTCTGCTGAATGTCCTGATATGTGGATCATGTCTGTAGCTTAAACCGTTTTGAAGTTATGACTAGAAGTGACCCACCGTTTTGCCCCAGGGTTCACTGAATACTCTTAGCTTACTTTGAGAGCTTAAATTAGGTTTTTTATGAGAATAGCGTAAATATGTAGAGACCATATTACTCCAGTCCTCGCTTCACTTCATTGGCTACCTGTCCAGTTCAGGATACAGTTAAAAGTGCTTTTATTTGTTTTAAAAGCACTTAAGGGTCAGGCCCCCTCGTATGTCGGCAGGATGCTCACTCCTCCACCACACAGCAGGTTTGAGAACCTGCTGGCTGTTCCTATATGGGCTCGTTTGAAGCTTAAAGGTGATTATGCATTTTCAGTCTATGCGCCGAGACTCTGCAACATTCTACCTCCCACTATCTGCCACCTTCAATCGCTGTTTTCAAATCAAGACTAAAAACACATTTATACTAACTCGCACCTGAATAGTGAGGGGCTGTGCTAATTATACATGTTTCAGTTTGTGTTTTGCATCATTTTTACTCATCATTTAATTTTATCTTATTTTACTCCTTTTTATTCATTTTTCTTCCTTTTCTTTGTAACTTTTATGTTTTATGTTTTCATACTTCTTGTTTATGTGTGTGCTGATTTGATTTACAGCACTTTGGTCGACGCAAGTTCTTTTAAGAGTGCTTTATAAATAAAATGTATTTATTACATACGTACTTTTCTCTATAAGGATGCACAAAAGCATGTTAGCATAGCTACAGACCTCTGTGGTCACGTCGTCACTCTGTAGTCACATCTGGAAACAAAAAGGCCTGAATTTTGTCCATTGTGACAGATAATGTGTCATACAGTTAGCACCATGCTAAATGGTGATGCTAATAAATTTTCTTTACTTGTTACGTACATTAGCCTAGTAGCTCCAGCGCAAAACTAAAGCAGTACACCTTGTGTGGTTAACACGATCTAATGATCTCTATACATTGTTAACTGGCTACTAAGCTATTAGCCTATGTGAAGTGCTAACTTTAGTTTTATAGGAAAACAATGTTAATTCCCTTAGCAACAGCACAATCCACTCAAAAAGAGAGGAAAAAAAAATTAGCAGTGTGAAGAATTTCACCCACATCCAGACAGAAGGAGACATTGCTGAAGCTGGAGCTACTGTCCTTCCCACAGAGCAGGGCTGTATGGAGAGTGTAGTCCACGGTGCTGTTCAGGTCACTCCAGATGAAGTCCTTAAGATCATAAGGAGGCAGGAAGTCCTGAGGCTCTGCAGTGTTGTTTACGTCATCATACTCCCACAGCTGAAAGAGACAGAAACACCCCATCAGTCTTTCTCACATCTGAATGTGTTCAGGGCGTGCCTCAGGGATCAATTCCTGGCCCCTCTTTTTTTGTAATATACATATTAATCCCATAGTCAAATGTCCCCAAGAAGGAACCACAGGGATCAATTCTTGGCTGTTTCATTTTTTAAATCATGTTGCTTCTCTGCAAAATCATATTCTGCCCAGTTGTGCAAGAGGTCCCTCAGGGATCAATTCTTGGCCCCCTGCTCTTTGTAATGTACGTATTACACCTTAGCCAAATCATTCACTTTTCTGTTGCCTAAGATGTACAACACATGCTACATCTTACCCAAATCATCTATTAAACCTACTAAAGGAGTCCCTCTGGGATCAATTATTGGACCTTTTTTAATTTACCTTGTCCCGAAGAACTTCTTGCTTCCTTGTTGCTCAGATGCTCCTCTTCTTAGCTCTGCTATCTTTCATGTCCTCTTTATTTTCAGATGTTTATGTTCTTTTTTGAGCTAGTGTTTGTACAACAAAGCCAAAAATTAAGGTTTTTTTCTAGTTTTTGTATTTTTTACAGTACTGCTATAGACTCAGGAATTAGAAAAGTTCCTTGTGGCTACCAAAGTAGAAACTTACAAAAAGCCTCTTCAGGTTTCAGAGAACATGTGCAGTCTGAATTGTTACGGTCTTCTGCAAACAATGACAGTTTTGGAGGAGAGTTTTTGGAGCCTGTTTTTGAGGTTTAAGGACTGGCCTTCATCTGTTACATGAGCAGTAGCATGTGGGAATGTCTTGCCTTGCCTTGCCTACTTTTTAGGCAAATCTCCCACAGATGCTGTTGCCCCAGGGGTGCTTCAGGGGTCAATTCTCAGACACCTACTCTTTTTAATTAACATGTTTCCTCCTTAGCTAAATCATCATCTGCCTTATATTGCAAGATGTACCTCAGGGATCAGTTTTTGGGCCCATTCTGTTTTGTAATAATGTTACACTGTAGCCAAATCATCTGCAGCCATGATCTTAGACTTCATGTCTATGCTAATGGTTGGAATACCATCACTTTTTTCTATTTATGTGCTCTCTTTAGGACCATGTTGGTAGGAAGAGCATAATTTCTAGTAGATTCCATACGTGATATTTCAGCTAAGATATCGCAGTCAGGAAGAAAAGCTGAAGAAGGCAATGCTGTGTTTACAATTTACCATTAAAAAAAATGCAGAACTGGAGCTAAACAGCGATGGTAAGTGACCGATGGCGGCATGCAGCCGTGCGAGGTTGCTAGGGTAACAGCAACCCCTGAAAATTTATGATTATCAAAGAAGGGCTTTGGTGGTCTTTATTATTTATTTTAAGATCACTTGAATGACGACCTTACATTTTTACAACCTTTAAACCGGAAAGAAAGAATTTCTTTCACATTTTAGTGAACAGCGGTAAGTGAGACCCACCCTGGTGAACACCAGAGCTCTGCTGTACTGCACGCTGCTCTCCGGCACCACCCGCAGGCTGCCGAAGGTGGGCCAGTCCACCTGAACCGAGGACTCTGTGGAGTTGGTGTGGACCAGCAGCACTGCAGGAGCTCCTTTACTGCAGAGAAAGAAGTGCAGGGTGTCGTTATCACCCAGCGCCCGCACATGCAGCAGGTCGAACTCAGGGGGCGCTGCATTGGACAGATTCAGGCCAGGGTTCAACTCCAGAGTCACCTGAGGGGCATAAAGATCACATCTGGTCATTCAGTCCAAAACAGTGAATCAGCCGTAGTTTATTTTGTCTGTTTCACGTTAGTGTTTGAGTTCAACTTGTTTGTATATTAAAAGCGATAATTTAGCCTCAGGCACCATTTAAGGTGGAACGGAACAATTAGAACAAAAAGCTGGTGAATGAGAAGCTTCAGCCTTGTAAAAAGTCGAACGTTGAGAGACGTTTTACAAGAAACTGTTCTACTTTTGGAAAAGTTTCCTGCTGGAGATGTGAGAAAAGCAGCTATAGCAGAGCTACAGCTTAAAGCAGAGCCAAGTCTGTGTTTTTGTTTATATTATATTTTTATCCTATATCAGTACATCAGCACATACTGAGACACATTTACAGACAAGATGGTGAAATAGACTCAGTGTTGTGGCTCCCAAGGTGGTTTGATTTTTGTTTAAATGACAAAATGGCTCTTCTTAACATCTGAGTTGCGACCGCTGGTCTACGCATAGTCAATCAGCCGAGACATGTTTAGTGTTTTAAGTTTTTAAGATTTTATATTAAATTTCTATTAGATTTAGCCTGATAAAAAAAAGAAATAATAATAGAGTTAGCTTGGAATAAAAGTATAAAAGTGACTACATGTAGGACCCGAAGACTCACCGCACATCTCATACTAATCAGACCAATCAGAAGAGGCCTTTCACAGTACAGCACTGGATCAGAGGAGGAGGAGAAGAGGTTAAACTATATTAACCTTAGGAGGTTTTAAGTCCAGTAGAAAAGCAGAAGTGAGTCTCGGACTAAGAGCCTCTCCAGCAGCTTCACTTCCCTCAAACTGCAGCCGAATGACCTGAATATCTGCAAGACGACTCTGTTAAAACTCTTCTAAACCTCCTTTAAGTACTCTGAAATTCTTTTAAACCCGTTTTAAATACTGTAAAACCTATTTTGAAAACCTCTATTAAAAACTGAAAAACTCTTTTAAATACTCTAAAACTCTTCAAAACCTCTTTTGAAAAACTCCTTAAAACGCTTTAAAACTCTAAAACTCTTTAAAAACAATTTTAAAAGAGCTTTTATAAACTCTGAAACCTCTTCCAAAAACTCTTTGAAACCCCTTTTAAACAGCTTTTAAACTCAAATTCTTTAAAACCTCTTTTGAAACCCCTTTTGAAACTATGAAACGATTTAAAAACTCTTTCAAAAGCTCTTTAAAAAAAACTCTTCAAACCCCTTTTAAAACCATTTAAAACCTGTTTTTAACATCTTTCAAAAACTCTTTTCCAGATGGACAGAGAATGTGCTGTATATGGTTCTATATAGAACCCTTTTTGAACTTGGTTTGTATACAGCACCAAAAAAGGTTCTGCTACTGTTATGATATCAAGCGTGTAACAACAGAAGAACCCTTTTTGGTACTATAAAGAATCCTCTGCTTGCCTAAATGGTTCTCTGCATGGTGAAATGGTTCTTCAGATTGATGGAGAATGTCCTGTATAGCACCAAAAATGTTCTGCTACTGTGATGATGTTAAGCTTGGAACAATAGAAGAACCCTTTTGGGTGCTATAAAGAACCATAAACAGCACATTCTCCTTCAATTTGAAGAACCATATCAGCATGCAAAGAATCTTTTAAGCACTGATTTTAAATAGAACCATCACCTTTTATACAGAACCATTTTCAAAAAGGTTCTAAATAGAACCATGTACAACATATTCTCCATCAATCTGAAGAACCTTATCTCCCTCCATACAGATAACTATTTGAGCACTGATTTTAAATAGAACCATCACCTTTATTAAAGAACGCTTGAATAAGCATCTTTTTAAAGAGTGTATACAGAACCATTTTCAAAAGGTTCCATATTGAACCGTGTAGAACATATTCTCAATCAATCCAAAGAACCATTTGAGCATGAAATGGTTCTATATAGAACTCTTGGTTCTAAACACAACCATCCCCTTTACTAAAGAACCCTTGAAGGAACCATCTGTTTGTAGAGTGTAAAACTGTTAAAGACTTTTATGTTGAAGTGTTTAAAAGATCACATCATAACTAACATCACAGGAACGATTAATTACAAATTAGCCCAGATTAAAAATGAATATTGATAAATAACCCGGTTTAAATGTGAGCGGGTTTAAATAGGAACAGAGGATGATCATTATATTTACTGTAATATTTAACTCGGGTTCCGGTTTGTTTTGGTGGTTCTAAGCTCGTCCCTCTCCGCACAAACCAGGTCAGACTCTAGTTCGAATTTTCCAGTTCCACCTTAAATGGCGCAGTAGTCTCATTACAGCTTCTGAGGGGTTATAGTAACTGCTGCACCATTTAAGGTGGAACGGGGAAATTAAAAGAAGAAGCCGGAGAGTGAGAAACTGAACCTCAGCTCCGCTTCAAACACAGCACATTCAGACAAACAGAACCGTTTAAACCTCACCTTCCGTCGGAAAGAGACTCCATTTCCCATAAATCCACTCACACAGACTAAAATACACAATAAAACACCAATTACACTAATTAAACTCAGAGCTTTAGCGCCCGACATCGCTGCGCTCCTGCACCAGCACACACACTAACACAGTCAGCTGACAAAATAAGAGTCACCCGAACAACAAACACGGACTCATATAACACTGAGATACAGTCAGCTGACCTGACAAAATAAGAGTCACCAGCACAACAACAGCGGACTCAGACATCACTGAGATACAGTCAGCTGACTTGCCTAAATAAAAGTCACTACTTACATACAACAACAGACTCCGATACAGGTTATCCCTTTGATTCAGTCAGCTGATCTTTCAAAATAAAAGTCACGACATAAACACGAACGCTGAGTGATGTATTAGATTTCACTGTGTACCACAGCGGCTGAGTGAGTCCATCAACTGACCTGTCAAAATGAAAGTCACCATAAAAAACAAATGGCTACTGAGTGCTGATTGGTTAGTGTTACTGCTACTGAGTGCTGATTGGTTAGCATTACAGTTACTGAGCGCTGATTGGTTAGCGTTAATGCTACTGAGCGCTGATTGGTTAGCGTTACTGCTACTGAGTGCTGATTGGTTAGCATTACTGCTACTGAGAGCTGATTGGTTAGCATTACTGCTACTGAGCGTTGATTGGTTAGCATTACTGCTACTGAGCACTGATTGGTTAACATTACTGCTACTGAGCGCTGATTGGTTAGCATTACTGCTACTGCTGATTGGTTAGCGTTACTGCTACTGAGTGCTGATTGGTTAGTATTACTGCTACTGAGTGCTGATTGGTTAGTATTACTGCTACTGAGTGCTGATTGGTTAGCGTTACTGCTACTGAGTGCTGATTGGTTAACGTTACTGCTACTGAGTGCTGACTGGTTAGCATTATTGCTACTGAGCGCTGATTGGTTAGTATTACTGCTACTGAGTGCTGATTGGTTAGTATTACTGCTACTGAGTGCTGATTGGTTAGCATTACTGCTACTGAGTGCTGATTGGTTAGCATTATTGCTACTGAGCGCTGATTGGTTAGTATTACTGCTACTGAGAGCTGATTGGTTAGTGTTACTGCTACTGAGGGCTGATTGGTTAGCGTTACTGCTACTGAGAGCTGATTGGTTAGCGTTACTGCTACTGAGGGCTGATTGGTTAGCGTTACTGCTACTGAGCGCTGATTGGTTAGCGTTACTGCTACTGAGTGCTGATTGGTAGTGTTACTGCTACTGCTGATTGGTTAGCGTTACTGCTACTGAGTGCTGATTGGTTAGTATTACTGCTACTGAGTGCTGATTGGTTAGCGTTACTGCTACTGAGTGCTGATTGGTTAACGTTACTGCTACTGAGTGCTGACTGGTTAGCATTATTGCTACTGAGCACTGATTGGTTAGTATTACTGCTACTGAGTGCTGATTGGTTAACGTTACTGCTACTGAGTGCTGACTGGTTAGCGTTACTGCTACTGAGCGCTGATTGGTTAGCGTTACTGCTACTGAGTGCTGATTGGTTAGTGTTACTGCTACTGAGTGCTGATTGGTTAGTGTTACTGCTACTGAGTGCTGATTGGTTAACGTTACTGCTACTGAGTGCTGATTGGTAGTGTTACTGCTACTGAGCGCTGATTGGTCAGTGTTACTGCTACTGAGTGCTGATTGGTTAGCATTACTGCTACTGAGTGCTGATTGGTTAGTGTTACTGCTACTGAGGGCTGATTGGTTAGCGTTACTGCTACTGAGCGCTGATTGGTTAGCGTTACTGCTACTGAGCGCTGATTGGTTAGCATTACTGCTACTGAGCGCTGATTGGTTAGCATTACTGCTACTGAGCGCTGATTGGTAGCGTTACTGCTACTGAGTGCTGATTGGTTAGTGTTACTGCTACTGAGTGCTGATTGGTCAGTGTTACTGCTACTGAGTGCTGATTGGTTAGTGTTACTGCTACTGAGTGCTGATTGGTAGTGTTACTGCTACTGAGTGCTGATTGGTTAGTGTTACTGCTACTGAGCGCTGATTGGTCAGTGTTACTGCTACTGAGTGCTGATTGGTTAGCATTACTGCTACTGAGCGTTGATTGGTTAGCATTACTGCTACTGAGCGCTGATTGGTTAACATTACTGCTACTGAGCGCTGATTGGTTAGCATTACTGCTACTGAGAGCTGATTGGTTAGCATTACTGCTACTGCTGATTGGTTAGCGTTACTGCTACTGAGAGCTGATTGGTTAGTGTTACTGCTACTGAGTGCTGATTGGTTAGCGTTACTGCTACTGAGTGCTGATTGGTTAACGTTACTGCTACTGAGTGCTGACTGGTTAGCATTACTGCTACTGAGTGCTGATTGGTTAGTGTTACTGCTACTGAGCGCTGATTGGTCAGTGTTACTGCTACTGAGTGCTGATTGGTTAGCATTACTGCTACTGAGCGTTGATTGGTTAGCATTACTGCTACTGAGCGCTGATTGGTTAGCATTACTGCTACTGAGAGCTGATTGGTTAGCGTTACTGCTACTGAGCGCTGATTGGTTAGCGTTACTGCTACTGAGTGCTGATTGGTTAGTATTACTGCTACTGAGAGCTGATTGGTTAGCATTACTGCTACTGCTGATTGGTTAGCGTTACTGCTACTGAGTGCTGATTGGTTAGCATTACTGCTACTGAGAGCTGATTGGTTAGCATTACTGCTACTGCTGATTGGTTAGCGTTACTGCTACTGAGTGCTGATTGGTTAGCGTTACTGCTACTGAGTGCTGATTGGTTAGCGTTACTGCTACTGAGTGCTGATTGGTTAGCATTACTGCTACTGAGCGCTGATTGGTTAGTATTACTGCTACTGAGTGCTGATTGGTTAGCATTACTGCTACTGAGTGCTGATTGGTTAGTATTACTGCTACTGAGGGCTGACTGGTTAGCGTTACTGCTACTGAGCGCTGATTGGTTAGTATTACTGCTACTGAGAGCTGATTGGTTAGTGTTACTGCTACTGAGGGCTGATTGGTTAGTATTACTGCTACTGAGTGCTGATTGGTTAGCGTTACTGCTACTGAGTGCTGATTGGTTAACGTTACTGCTACTGAGTGCTGACTGGTTAGCATTATTGCTACTGAGCGCTGATTGGTTAGTATTACTGCTACTGAGTGCTGATTGGTTAGTATTACTGCTACTGAGTGCTGATTGGTTAACGTTACTGCTACTGAGTGCTGACTGGTTAGCATTATTGCTACTGAGCGCTGATTGGTTAGTGTTACTGCTACTGAGGGCTGATTGGTTAGCGTTACTGCTACTGAGAGCTGATTGGTTAGTATTACTGCTACTGAGGGCTGATTGGTTAGCATTACTGCTACTGAGCGCTGATTGGTTAACGTTACTGCTACTGAGCACTGATTGGTTAGCATTACTGCTACTGAGCGCTGATTGGTAGTGTTACTGCTACTGAGTGCTGATTGGTTAGTGTTACTGCTACTGAGAGCTGATTGGTCAGTGTTACTGCTACTGAGTGCTGATTGGTTAACATTACTGCTACTGAGAGCTGATTGGTTAGCATTACTGCTACTGAGCGCTGATTGGTTAACATTACTGCTACTGAGTGCTGATTGGTTAGCGTTACTGCTACTGAGTGCTGATTGGTAGTGTTACTGCTACTGAGCGCTGATTGGTTAACATTACTGCTACTGAGCATTGATTGGTTAGTGTTACTGCTACTGAGTCCTGATTGGTTAGTGTTACTGCTACTGAGTGCTGATTGGTTAATATTATTGCTACTCAGCGCTGATTGAGGAGTGATGGGAGCCGTGGATGGATGTCATATCCGTGTTAGAGCCCTGGGAGAGCGAGACTCTGGGTGCTGCCAAAATCAGGAGCTCTTCACCTCTATCCATATCCAGGCTGTGTGAGACCCCCAGGCCAGATTTCTAGGTGAGTACACTGGATTTCCTGGTTCTGTATACGACTCTATGGTCCTGAAACACAGTCCCTGTTATTGCCTTGGGCTCCACCCCCCTGCTGGCGCTCTTCTTCTGGGAGATGGAGGGTATCCCTGCCTTGAGAGGCCGTGTGCCAACAGTAGCTGCTTCATGCCTGTTTACCTTTTTACCTTTAAATGCCCGGAGGTACTGTTTCAGCCGTTCACTGGTCTATATTAGTTCTTGTCAGATCTGTTACTGTCTGTTTCGTTCACTTCATCCTACTGTAAACACTTCTTCCTAGTTCTGTTCCCATTTTTCTCAAATAATGTTTTAAACTTAATCATTTCAGATGTTACTAACTGATTAATATTGGCCCACTGTATATTTTAGTGTCTCCTGGACTCTTTCAGTGTGTTATAATAAAGAATAAATAAAATTATTAAATAAAATAAATAAAATAACTGAAAACTTTTTGATCTCTACAGTATTGTTTGCAGAGAAAAGACATTTCTGATTACATGAATCAAAATAAGACTATCAGGATCATTTAAAAGCTGTTTATTTCATTTTGTCTGTTAGTTTTTAATAGTGAGAAGTGGCGCTGATCTCCTCCTCCAGTAGCTCTAAAACGTCCTCTAAAAAGCCCCTCTTCCTCAGGCGGTGCCTTTATAAAGGGTTGGTTCTCTGCTTTGACCCTGATGTCAGTCCCACAGAGTGTACGACCACAAATCCACAAAGTATTTAAATACAACATCCTACAAAAAACACAACAACTGTTTTTAAACCTGAAGAACGAGTATGCTAACCCCCTTTAGCATGCTAGCTAAGCTAAAGTTGGCTTCCCGTAACGATAGCTGCTTATAAAGGCAGTAGTGTTTAGCTACATAAGCTAGCTGGCTAAGTTTAGGCAAGTTTCAACTTCAGTCAAACTACAAACATAAACATGATAAATATGACACGCAAACGCATCAGACAACTGAAAAAACAGCAGAGAAAACAGGTTCGACCTTCGACGAGAAGGCGGCTTACATCTGTTAACGCAGTCTCCAATTAGCAAAATTTGTCTGGGCCACACCCATGGTTTGTTCTGGCCCGGTATACGGCTGGGTCCTTGGCCCAGATCTGGCCCCCACACTGTAAAGTGAGTAGAACTAAAGGATATGGCCCAAATCTGGCCCGAGTACATTGGTGGTCCACAAATTTATCCCACAA